GAGAAAGCTTCTAATTAAAGCCAGCAAAGAAATTTTTACACATCACCTTCCATTCCGTTATTCTCACATTAAATTAGCATAATAAATGAATGACTTACATAACTTGAATGACTTCACTTGAGGACACATGGTCCAGTAGTAATTACGTTCTAGACGTGCGGATAGATTTATTTAGAACAATATCTCAAAAACAATATAAACAGTGTCTGTTCAAACGGGCACAACATCCTCATCGACAGCGGAAAGACTGGACAAGTAGTAACCCCAGTAACTGAAAGTGGTGGTAGATAAAAGCAAGTACAGCTAATTTGAGTTGTAATTTATACACTTACGTCACATTGAACATACAGTACGCGGTAGGAAAGAAGATGGCACTGAAATTGGGACATTAGTCAAGTCAAACCGTTATCAAATTATAATTCCTGCACTAATGTTCAAATAGTTGGGGGACGGTTTCTACTGCCTCCATAGGTGGCAGAAGGCAACTACGATTTAACCCTAAACATTGTCCTGCTGCATAAAGAGATGGAGGAACACCCTATGACTATCAAGAAAGCCGTAACTGGTACAACTGTAACAACTCAAACTCTACTCTACTACTCTACTTTTCTACAATTCTTACAATGACTGCAGGGGCGCTCATGTTTTTTTTGGGGGGGGGGGACATTCGAGTGAGTGAGCCAATTATTGTGCTTGTGCTTGGGACTAAGCCATAAGTCTTAGGCAGGGGAAGGGATTTGAGGAAGCAAGGAATACATGTGCTCCCTGGCGTTCTCCCCGCTCCTGAGCTTAGCTCTAGTGTCACTACCATCGGCCCTGTTGTGGACATCCCCCTCCCCAAGGACCTGAGCGTCATTGCAGGCTTTGCTGAAAACTGTTAACAGCCGACCTTCGTTTTGTGTAAGTGCAGTGCGACTGTCATGATTGTTGGCCCCCCTATGCTCAATTCTTATGGAAAATTGGAGCAGCCAGCTACAGCACTTTTTCAGCGGATAGCTCTAATTTTGTGTTGTGGTGTGGATCGCGGAGAAGCATCGCACTTGCAGTCCGTTTGCAGCTCGACTTGGATAAGATATGAACAGTCAGATCGCACTACCACTACAGTCCATATCTCGCCGCCTGAGCAGCCATGTCTACGAATTTGACGTCGCGGCCACCGCACGTGATAGGTGGTGTGGTACGCTAGGACAGAAAGCGACTTTTTCGCGTTTCGCAGCGCGAACATTTTCCGCTGCGGGAACTCCAGGTCCACTCATGATCAGCGGTGGACCTGAGGTTCCCGCAGCGAAAAAAGTTTCGCGTTCTGTCCTAGCGCCGCAATCCCTTGGTAATTGCGTTGGAGAAATCTGTGCCTGAGCATACTTCGTTGGAGACCAGCAACGCCCGCTGGAAGCAGTTTATCCACGCGACTTTGATCAAGTGCGGCGCCGCCCACCCAGGCTAGACATGGACTGTACATTTCATTCCACACTCGGGCTCCAAGCGGAATGCGAGTCACACCGTATGACTGCTGGCTAGATAATGGAGTGGATGGTGTGCGAACGAGAGTGCATAGTCATTCGCCGTCCAGTGGCTAACAAATAACCCACCTGTAGAAGTCAACCGTCTCTGGCCGTAATGGTCCTAATCTTTTCCACCACTTTCGTATTGATGCGAGTAAATCGCGTTGTGGACGAGATCTATGGACTGGTGGATACGGCGCCTCAATCCCAGGCGGTTCATCAGATGGTAACTGGAACAACACGTAACAGTCCAATTGCTTGGTGATGGCTGTTACTTATAAAAACTCACATCCGAGCTATTACGGACAGAGTTGATCCGCTTGTCGACCCAAAACTGGAAAATATGTGCCTCTAAACAATGTGTGCAACTAATAAAAAACGTACGCATACCTGCCGTAGCTCAAGATGAGGGCTTGATTGGATGCCTTTCCAAGAAAACTCGTCATCAGATCCCTCGCGTTTCCGCTTTTTCTTGACCTTCGGGGGCAGGCCTTCGTTTCGGGACATGAACCCAACAACGGCCAATTCCAGCAGTGAGAGAAAAATGAACAACATACCGCTAAATAGATGAATATTACGAAAAATATTCATTTCGATTTATGTTCAGTTCCCTTCTTGCACAAACAAAATGGCTCACACAAGCAGGAGCTCTCCTTCTGAACTGCTGCGCCGCGATGCACCCTTTCCCCCTCCCACTTCCAATACTTAAAGCTTGATCAAATTTCTGGGAACATTTTACGAGAATTCATAACCAGGTGTTCTGAAAGTTCCTAAGTCATCTAGTTTCTGGACTATTTCAGAAAAATCGATCTACTATGGATGATTTATCTT